AACCCAATTAAAAAATGGGCAGAGGATATGAACAGACAGTTCTCTGAAGAAGAAATTTAGATGGCCAACAGGCACATGAAAAGATGCTCCACATCACTAATCATCAGGGAAATTTAAATTAAAGCCACAATGAGCTATTACCTCACACCAGTAAGGATGGCCAGTATCAAAAATACTAAGAACAACAAATGCTGGCAAGGATGCAGAGAAAGGGGAACCCTCCTACACTGCCAGTGGGAATGTAAACTAGTTCAAACATTGTGGAAAGCAATATGGAAGTTCCTCAAAAAACTAAAAGTAGAAATACCATTTGACCCAGAAATTACACACTTAGGAATTTACCCAAAGAATATAATTTCTCAGATTCAAAACGACATATGCACCCCTATGTTTATCACAGCACTATTTAGAATAGCCAAGATATGGAAGCAGCCTAAGTGTCATCAGTAGATGAATGGATAAAGAAGAGGTGGTACATATACACAATGGAATACTATTTAGCCACGAGAAAGAAACATATCCTAGCATTTGCAACAACATGGATGGAGCTGGGAGATATTATGCTCAGTGAAATAAGCCAGGTGGAGAAAGACAAGTACCAATGATTTCCCTCATTTGTGGAGTAAAACATTGAAGCAAAACTGAAGGACCAAAACAGCAGCAGACTCACAGACTCCAAGAAGGGACTAGCAGTTACCAAAGGAGAGGGGTGTGGGAGGGCAGGTGGGGAGGGAGGGAGAAGGGGATTGAGGGGTATTATGATTGGCACACATGCTGTGGGGAGATCATGGGGAAGACAGTATAGCACAGAGAAGACAAGTAGTGACCCTGTGGCATCTTACTACACTGATGGACAGTGACTGCATTGGGGTATGGTGGGGGCCTCGATAATATGGTGAATGTACTAATCACATTGTTTTTTCATGTGAAACCTTCATAAGAGTGTATAGCAATAATACCTTAATAAGAAAATTAGAAAAAAAAAAAGAAAGACCCCAGGAGAAATTCTGCACCGGGTATCCTGCAGCATTAATGGGAAGAGACCCATCTGAGAAATTTAAAATTAGAAGAGATCTTAAGGGTGTCTTAAGATCTGCATCAAATCCTGTACTCATATTTCCAACATTGATACCCATTGGGTGTCCAGCTCTATCTTGAATACTTCCTAGGACAGGGGACTCTGGAACTCCCATTCTTTGGACCACCCTATTAATATATTAGGATGTGTTAAAGCAAATATTTGGTCATTTCCACCGTCTAGTCCTGGATCCATCCACTGGGACCATACAGAGTGAATCCACTTTCCACTTAACAGCTCTTGAGACATTTGAAGGCAGCTATGCCCCAAGCTTTCTCTGCTGACAACAAAGTCTTTACTTCCTCAGCTGGCATCTTAAAGATCTTTGATATTAAATTTCCTGATTTGGGCTACCTGTGTAAGGGTAAATGCATTACAAGTAAATATAATGGTAGCTGTTGCTGCATATGATTTGGATATGTGATAACCATCCATCAAATTGGTACTTATAAATTAAATATTGTTTTTGTTTTCTGTAGCCGGGTAACATATTTTTAGTAGATAAAAATCAAATAAAGATTGGAGACTTTGGACTTGTAACATTCCAGAAGAGTGATGGAATGCGGACGGGTAATAAGGGAACTGTTCGATACATGAGCCCAGAACAGGTGAGGTCTCCTTCCTTTCTGTCTATATATTTTCTACTTCTTTCATGTTTTTTAATTAGAAAAACCATAGACACCTGTTATAAATTAAAACAGCACAGAATACATAGAATAAAAATGAAAAAGGCCCCCTTAACCTTCCTTTCTATTCTTACTCTTCTCATAGAGTTTATTATCCTTTTTTCTGAGTTATAAAAATATACAAACACAAATGTATATATACACAGTTTTTTGCATAAAAATATATATACATTTTCACAAGGATACTATAATGTTACTTTGGAACTTGATTTTTTTTCCACTCAACAATATATTGTATCTCTCCATTATCAGTACAAATAGATCTAGCACATGCTTGTTAACAGCTGTATTGTATACCAAAGTATAGCTGTGTCATAATTTGTTTCCTTATGGATGGGCATTGATTTAGGTTGTTTCCAGCTTTTTACATTTACAAACATGTTATATGTCTTCCTCCTTATCTTTGAGTCTAAAAACAATGATTCCCATGGTAATCTATGATAGATTCCTTGAAGTGAAATTATTGAGTAGAATGACAGGTGCATTTCAAACTTGATAAATACTGTGAAGTTGTCATCTAAAAAATCTGATTCTACTATGCTCTCCTGCTAGAGCATAGGAGAATGCTGCTTCCTCTGTCTCAATCAGACTAGGGTGCTATCAGACTACATTTTTGGAATGAGGAATAGCTTGTTGTTATAATTTGCAATTTCCAGGTTTTTAGCAAGGTAGGCAGTCTTCACATGCATTTACTCACAATTTTTCTGCAAAGTCTCTTTTCATGCTCTTTCCTCATTTTTCTCATTTACATTATTTTTTTCTAATTTATTTGTAAGGAATCATTATATATTTTTATATCAATTCTGTATCTGTTAACTTTCAATGAAAATTTCTCCTTGATTGTAAATTGTTATTTCTTTGTAAGGTAGCATAGAAGCTTTCAAGGGGTCACATTTATTAGAATTTTCTTTATGGCTATTGGGTTTCTCAGTTTTATTTTTCAGGCCTTTTTGACTACAGGATGATAAAAATATTCTGTGTTTTTAATAATACCTCAGACTAACTTGAATTAATTTTGGTATATATGCATGGAAGGGATGTGACTTGATTTACCTCGTGTGGATAAAAAATGGCCCCACCACTATGTATCAAAAAATTCACCATTTAGGCTGTTGTTTTAAGGAAAATTCATAGAGACAAAAAAGTAGAAGTTACCCAGGCCAAAGAGAGGGAAGAATGGGAAGTTTTTGTGTAAGGGGTACAAATTCTGTTTGAGATGAAGAGAAAGTTCTGGAGATACATAGTGGTGATGGTTACATAACATGGTGAGGTTACTTAAATGCCACTGGATTGTGAGAATAAAAATGATTAAAATGGTAAATTTTATGTATGTATATTTTACCACAATAAAAAAGGCTATCTTATCGTACATGAAATTCCCACGCATTCATGGATCTGTTTCTGGACTCTATCCTGTGTAATTTATTTTTGTCATTTCCTCCTTAATATCATACTATTTTAATTATTATAGTATTACAATATATGTTTTAATATCTGGACAGCAAGACCTCCCATTCAATTTTAAAATGTTCCCCGTGTTCACATTTACTATTCTAAATAAACTATAGAGTCAGCTTGTCATGTTCCATAATTGGCTTTGAGGTTTTTAATAGGAATTGTATTAAATTTAAGGATTCCACTGAGGGCTATTGACATCTTTATGTATTTATTTGAGACTTCTCCAAGAAATTCGTGTTTCTCCCATTTATTCAAGTCCTCCATTAGTTAGCTTTAGCCAGCTATGCTATGGTAACAAATAACCTCTGATTTTATAGTGGCGCAGAAAGTGCTAAAGGCTTATTTCTTGTTCACATGAGTGTTGGCTTGCAGTCTGGCAGTAGTTTTGCTCCATTGTCTCCTTCATCCCAGAACCTAGTCTGAAGGAAGAGCCCTGTCTGGATCTTTGCTGTCCTCATAGCAGAAAGCAATGGCTATACCATGTGATGGCTTTAACAGACTGCTCAACAGTAGCATACATCACTAAACATCATTCCCCAGAGCAAACTGCACAGCCCGGCTCTAGGTAAAAAGGTTGGGAAGCATCATGCTCTCGCTGAGAGACCAGTGTACTATCGGGAGCAATAATACATTTTTTCTTTTACTTTGCTCTTCAAGGAAGTTTGTATAATATTTTCCTTTATGAAGATTGTTCATTTTTTAAGGCTTTTCCCTGATTACTGTACAAGTGTTTGCTATTAAAATGAGACTTTACAAGCTTTATACTAATACATGTGTTTTGCTATTAAAATGAGATTCCTTGTATCTAATTGGTTATTAGTGAGGCATTTGATTTTAAAATATACTTACTTTTGATTGTGGTAAAATACACATGAAATTTACCATCTTAATCATTTTTAAGTGTACAGTTCAGTGGCATTATGTACATTCATGTTGTTGGACTACTATGTCCACCATCCATTAACAGAACTCTTGCAAAACTGAAACTCTGGACCCATTGAACAGCTCCCCATTCTCCTCTGGCAACCACCCTTCCACTTTCTGTCTCTAAGCACCTGAGGGATGGCTGTTAATTTTTCAGTCTTGCATTCTTAGGGCCCAGTGATGGCATTACTCTGCACTCTTAGCCATTTGCCCCAATTTAAGTTTAGGAATTACCAGTTTCAGAAATAGCTGAATAGCTCAGCTCATTTCTCAATAGCTGTTCAAAATGTTCAATAAAGGTTTTCTTGCATGGTAAAAAAAAAAGGTGTCTCATATAAGTAGAATCATACAGTATTTGTCCTTTTGTGACTGGCTTATTTCACTCAGCATAATGTTTATCCATGTTGTAGCATGTGTCAACTTCCTTTTTAAGACTGAGTAATATTCCATTGTATGGCTAATATCACATTTTATTGATCTATTCATCCATTTGTGGATCCTCGGGTTGCATCTACCTTTTGGGTATCATGAATATTGCTGTTATGAATATGGTTGGAGAGCTGTTGATTTGTGTTTGTCTTATATTGATTCAATACTCTGATAGAGTTTTTGTTGATTGCTTATTGTCTATTTTTAATCTTTTTGATGGTTTGAGAGTCTAGAAAGGAGAGGGAACTGATCTCTCCCCTTTGGGGATCATTTGGCATAAAAATATCATTTAAGTATTTTGTGGAGTCTTCAGGTAGAAGACAGGAGGCAAATGGCTCCCTTATAATTCCCCCTTTATTAAATATCTCCAATATCCTATATTGTCACCCTAAGACTGTTTTCTAAAAAGTCCTTCATCATTATACTTTTAATCTTCTCAGTGATTTTTACATTGCAAAAACTTTTATTGAGGATAATTTGTACATCATAAAATCCACAGATCTTAAATGTACATTTATAGTTTTGGCAAAAGCACAAACCTATCAAAATGTAGAACATTTCCTTACCCAAGAAAATTCCATCAGGCCCTTTGCAGTCAGTCCCTCCTCCCCACTGCTCAGAGGCAACCAGGGCCCTGGTCTCTATCACTGTAGATGAGTTTTCCCTGTTTTTGAGCATCATATGAATGGAATCATACTTTATGTACTCTTTTGCATTTGATTATTTCATGCAAAGTAATGTCTGTGGAGAAACTCTCATTGTTGCTTGTGCCATTAGATTATTCCATTTTATTGCTGAGTACTATTCCACTGTGTGAATATATTATAATTTCTTAATCCATTCTCCTGTTGATGGACACCTGGATTGCTTCCAGTTATAGAATATTATGAATAAATCTTCTATGAACATTTGCATGTGAGTCATTTCCTGGGGACTATTTTAACTGCTTCACCTGCTGCATCTCATTTAACTGCACAAACTCTAAGGTTGAAACTGTTGTTATCCCCATTTTTTGGGATTATTGCCACATTGATGGCTAATTTACACAGGTGATTTAACTATATTGGGATAGAGATTTGAACCTGGGCAGTCAGACTGCACAGATCTTGCTAACGTACATAATTATACAATACAAGCTATTTTGGTCAAATAACTTTTTTGGCTTCAGAAGGTATGAATGTTTATATATCAGAAGGTGAATAACAAATGTGGATATATTTTGGTCCCTTTATAGATTTCTTCACAAGAATATGGAAATGAAGTGGACCTCTTTGCTTTGGGACTAATTCTTGCAGAACTACTTCACATATGTACCACTGTATTGGAAACATACAAGGTAGATAATCCCCCAGAAAGAATATAGCAACAAAAATTATTAGCTGTCATCTCTAGATGACACTACGTATAGTTATCGTCCTAATGAAAGGATAGGCTTGAACATATTAGTGTTGACTGCCGATGAAATGTAGATTTTACCTCTTTCAAATTGGGGCAACCAAAACTTTGTTAAGGATCAGAAACTTTGTTTTTGGAAGTTGCATACATCTCATCAAACTGTTGCTGTTTCTTCCTATTTGAGACAGTAAAATTCTGATTTCCCACTTTGTATAAGACTGTGTGAAGTGCTGCAATGTTATAAAAATGATTAAGTCTTGTTCTCAAGTAGCTCATAATCTAGAAGATAATGTAAGAGAATGCTATAAATGTTTTGGGAGAAGGCGTGAAGGCTTATGGAAGCAGCTAAGAGAGCTGTAGGATTTAGATTTCATGGAGGCATTTCAGCAGGGCTCTGAAGGATTGGTTGGTTTCTAATAATCCAAAATAGAAATTCCAGCCTGGAGAGGAGAGTGTGCAGACTGTGGGAACAGTAGGCAGTATCCTTTATTTTTGGAGTATGTAAGTTACAAGGAAGTGGTGGTTAATGGCACTGGAAAAACATGTTGGGGCTAAATTAAGGCAAGAATATGGACTTGTGGAGGAACTGAAGGCATTAGGCAACTGGATAGCCTAGTCTGAAGCTCAGTACGGGGAACTTGGCTGGAATCACAGCCTTCTTCTCTCCCAAGCAGGGATAATGAAAATGCCTATCTCAGGGTTCCACAAAGGATGAAGGGAGATAATGCATATGATGCTCTTAACACTTCAGTATGTGTTGTAATGTTAAGGATGGTTATTGGAGGGGGTGGGTGGGGAAGGGGTGTCCTGCCTGCTTCTTGGCTAAAGAGATTTTCCAAAGACCTGGTATTATCCTAGATTTGGGGCATCTCCAACTTTTAGTGCTTCCTAAGTTTATTTTTTCTCCTAAGTGAATAATTTCCTAATGAATATATGTTTTATTTTTCAGGTTTTTAATGATTTAAGGAATGGTGTCTTCCCAGATGTATATGATTATAAAGAAGTAAGCACTTGAAAATAACCAACATTTTATTTGTTTTGCTTTATTTCTTTGTATTGACTCTTACTTATCATTACAGAAAATTCTTCTACAAAAATTACTCTCATCCGACCCCAAGAAACGACCTAATGCATCTAAAATTCTGAAGACTTTGGAGGAGTGGAAGAGTGTTACTGGGAAAAAGAAACTAAACACATATTAGAGGGCTTCTATAAACGTATCCTGCTTCTGATATTTGATTTTTCTGTAATTGTTCAAAGTCTTTTAGGGAATATCAATGGTGTTTATCTTCTATTTTAATTTTGCTCTTAATTTTTTACTAAATTTACAGAAAGGTTTGCATTTTTTTTTTTTACTTCAAAACCTTCTTAAATTTGACTTTTTCCTGGATCATCTCCTTATTAAGAAGATGGGGGGGGGAATCCCTCAAATTTTCTTTTTTATGTCAATTAATGAATTAATCAGTTAATAGATGTTGATCACACATTCATTGTTTCTAGGTCACAAATATAAGATCTTTCCCTATCCTAAATAGCTCCTCAACAAGTCAGTCAAGAAATACAGTATCCATAAAAAAATAAGTGATATACAACCACTTTGGAAAATAATCTGGTGTTGATTGTCTAAGTAACATTGAAGGTCTATGTACCCTCAAAGCCATCAATTCTGATCTTACATACATGTCTACAAGAATGTTCATGGAAAACCTGTTTAAAACAGCCAAGAAACAGGAAACAATGCTAATGTCTATCACAGGAAGAATGGGTACATAGACTGTATTATATTCACCCTTTGGAATACTATATAGCAGTGAAAATAAATGAATTACAGCTAAGTGCCATAACACAATACATCTTTCAGGAACATAATGTTAAGAAAACACCGCAGGTTACAGAAAATACATACAGAATGATTGCATTCATATAAAGTTCCAGAACATTTTAAATGAAGTGATTTTGGTAATCCAATCAAATGTAGTTAAAACAATAAAGGGAAGGAAGGGAATAAGAGAGAATAAGTTCTGATAGTGGTTATCCCTGAGGAGGGACAGGAGTGATGTTATTGGGGAAATGGGAAATGGACCTCAAAGGTAACAGTTACCTTTTTTCTTAAACTGGATGTTGAGTCCACTAGTGTTTACTACATAGTAATCTCTTTTTTTTTTTCAAAAATACATCCTTTATCAATTCTAATGATCACTTTAAAGAGATGATAACCATGCCTTAAGGCAGTAGCTAAGGACAGAAAATTGTCTAGAGGGATGAGATCACTTTCTATGGAGGTATCATGGCACGGTGCTGAGAAGTGACATTCCAGTGAGACTTCCAAGTAGGTGAGAGATTTAGATGAGCAGAAAGGAGACCATGTGGGCAATCTGAGAAAGGGACATGAGTTCTGGAAAGAACCATTGGATATACTAGTTTGTTTCCCAGAAGTGCTGTAGGGAATGCCAGAACATAATTGGGCTGCATCTTAGAAGAACCTGAGGGTTGATTTAAACTTTATAACAGACAACTACCATTCCAAAACTGTCATGTAACTTTACAGTTTTTAAGATGAACCAAGTTTAGGCTAAGCAGAAAAATCACAGTAAAAGAAAATAATTTCAATGATTGTTCCTCAAAAAAATAAAAATAGAAATACCATTTGACCCAGGAATTCCACTCCTAGGAATTTACCCAAAGAAAATAAGTTCTCAGATTCAAAAAGACATATGCACCCCTTTGTTTATCGCAACACTATTTACAATAGCCAATATATGGAAGCAACCTGAGTGTCCATCAGTAGGTAAATGGATAAAGAAGATGTGGTACATATACACAATGGAATATTACTCAGCCATAAGAAGATAACAAATCCTACCATTCACAACAATATGGATGGAACTAGAGGGTATTATGCTCAGTGAAATAAGCCAGGCAGAGAAAGACAAGTACCAATGATTTCCCTCATTTGTGAAGTATAACAACAAAGCAAACTGAAGGAACAAAACAGCATTAGACTCACAGACCCCAAGAAGGAACTAGCAGTTACCAAAGGGGAGGGGTGGGGGAGAGCAGGTAGGGAGGAAGGGAGAAGGGGATTGAGGGGTGTTATGATTGGTACACATGGTATGGGGGGTTCCAGGGAAGACAGTGTAGCAGAGAAGACAAGTAGTGTCTCTGGCATCTTACTGCACTGTTGGACAGTGACTGCAATGGGATATGGGGGGTACTCTATAATATGGGTGAATGTAGTAACCACATTGTTTTTCATATAAACCTTCATAAGTGTATATCAATGATACATTAATAAAAATATGATTTCATAAAGATTTATGGCTATTTCTATTAAGTGTTACTAAAAGTGATATGGTTTTCATCTCCTGATGCAGTGTTTTATGCAGTATTTATGTACCATCAATGGATGCTAAAACTGTGGGATGAAAGGTGTTCAGGAACAGGATCTTCACAAGTATTTAAATATAATCCCGGAGGTGCTATATCAGTTACAAAGGAGAAAATGGAAAGATCTTATAGTCACTGCAAGAACCACGTCATCAAATTTAGTGTCATCAAAGGTGGGTTGGCCTAACCTTATGCCTCTACTGATGTGTACGAATTACACATTATCACCTATTTAGTTTTCTTGCCCAAGCATTTAACTGGAATTTAGCCATGAGGAAATTATTAGAAAAATCCTGAATGAAGTCATTCTGTAAGATAATTAACTTAGGCTTCTCAAAAAGTATCAGGAATTATAAAGAGAATAGAAAGAATGACCAAATGCATCACTTGAATCTTGACTGTATCCTGAATTTTTTTATTAAAGTATCATTGATATACAATCTTATGATGGTTTCACAGACCCAAAGCTGGTTCAACATTCAACCCATATTATCAAGACCTCAACCCCTGTATTGCAGTCACTGTCTATCAATGTAGTAAGATGTTAGAGTCACTAATTGTATTCTCTGTGCTGTACTACCATCCCAGTGACCTACGTATGTTGTGATTGTGAATTATAGTGCCCCTTAATTCCCTTCTCCCTCCCCAACCATAGTCCCTTCTCCCATGTCTATGAGTCTACTGCTTTCTTTGTTCCTTCTGTTTCACTTTGTTTTTATCCTCCACAAATGGGTGAAGTCATTTGGTATTTGTCTTTCTCCACCTGGCTTATTTCACTGAGCATAATACCCTCTAGATCTATCCATGTTGTTTTAAATGTATCCTGAATATAAAAAAAAATAAAACAACCCAGGAAATAGCTATGAAAGACATTTATGAAACAATTGAGAACATTTGAATATGGACTGCATATTAGATGACATTATGGAATAATTGTTCACTTTTTAGGTGTGATAATGATATTGTGGTCATGCAGGAAAATGTCTTATTCTTAGGCAATGCATGCAGAGATATTTAGGAGTGAAGTGTCATGATATTTGCAACTTTCAAATGTTTAGAAAAAATCTGTGGAGAGAGAGAAAGCAAATGGGGCAAAATATTGGTAAGTGAACAATTGATAAATCTAGGTGGAGGGGATAAAAGTGTTTCTTGTATTAGTCTTTGAGCTTTTCTGTAGATTCAAAATTTTTCTGGAAGGAGAGAAATCTTTAAAAACCAGTATTATCTGGATTTAATGAAAAGGCTATATGCTCAAAAGAAAAACATGGCAAATTAGTGAGAATGTAGCTTTATTTTACCTTTCATTTTAACATTTCTATTATGAAATAAATACAGCATCTCTTGGAAGATTTTATTTATTTGTGAGTATATATTTTTCTCAGCCTCAAAGGAATAGTAAATAAAAAGTATCATTTTAATCAGAGCAGAGGGGGAAAGGGCAAAGGCCAGGGATCTTATTTGCCAATTAAAATGAGATTTTGAAAGAGCTATTGTGACCTAGTTGCTTCACTAGAAACAGACTTTCTAGGAAATTTTTATCACTAACCACACATATTTACACTAAGTAAACATGCGTTTAGCATAAATACATATATATCACCACACACACACTTCACAAACATTTTCTGTTGATGTTATAGTTAGCTTATATACGTGTACACACGTACATGTATCTTGGTATGTGTATGGTCAGCTGCATAATTTGTGGGACCCAATGCAAAATGAAAATTTGAGACCCTAGTTCAAATAAGTATAGGGCACTTCTGGGCATGGGGCCTTTGCAGTGCAGATTGCGTGTCCACAAAGATGTGTGTGTGTATGTGTGTGTGTGTGTGTATACACACATATATGTACACACATTTATATGTGTTTGAGACAAAATATTTAAAAGCCTAAATACTAGCTTTTCGAAGACTCCATATCCAGCACGCTTGCTAGTAACATAAACACATAACATCCACTTTCCACTTGAATGTTCAACATAACTTGAGGTTCCTGGCATGTTAACTTTTCATTATGGAATATTGAATCATTTCAAGATTATTTATATTTATTTTCTTGTTTTTTTGTAAAGCATACACAAAGTCAGAGAATAGAATAATGAAACTCCATGTACCCATCACCCAGTTTCAACAACTATCAATATTCTGCCTGTCTTGTCATACCTACTCCCTTCTTTTTCAAAAATTTCATTTGCTGGAGTGTTTTAAAGTAAATCCCAAGTATTATATCATTTCACTTGTAAATACTTAAAAATGTATCTCTAACATAAGAGTTTAAAATTTCAACAAAACCACAGTATCACTGTCATTCAACAAAATGAGTAAGATTTCCTTAATTATACGAATCAGTCTGTATTCAGTTTTCATTTCAAAAATATAATTTTGCTGTTTGTTTAGATCAGGATCCAACAGGCATTTAGTTGATGGCTCTTCTACTCTATCACATCGAGCCATTTTTAATTTCTTCTTGCTGTTTATTTGAGAAAGGAACTGGATCATACACCCTGTAGAATTTCCTAACTTCACGATTTGACTTATGGTATCCCTGTAGTGCCTAGTTAGAACTAGAAGCTTGATTTGATCCTGGCTCATAAAACTTTTCCAAGAATAGCCCATAGGTGATGCTGTATACTTTCTTTTGCATCACTTCATAAAGAACATGATGTCTTGTTGCCCCACTTTCAGTGATTCTAAGATTGATTGGTGGGCTCTGGTGGTGTTGTTAGCTACTATAAATTTCTCACCTAATGGTTTCAGCAAGCATTGGTGATTGTTGCCTGGATCCTTTATTTCATTAGAGATTGTAAAATAGTGATATTCAGATTCTAGCAAGCCTCTTGCCTTTATCTGCAATTGTTCAATAAGAAATTTTCTCTAAAGCTGAATGGGAAAGATGGAATATTCACTCATTCTTAGAAGGAATTGGTGCCCTCCCAACCTCCAAAAGTGACATGTGGTTTTGTTTTTTAAGCAGGGATGTGACCCAACCAGTACTTTGGAACAATGTGTTTAGAATAGTTTGGAGCAGGAAGACGCAAAATCTGAAAGGCCAGAATGCTGAGAGGCTGAGAAGCCTTTAACAATAGGAGGTGGCAGAACCAAGAGGAGTTAACAACTAACTGAATGTGAGGGCTAAGGAAAAGGTAAGCACCAGAGGTCGCCTTCAGGTTTGTTTGAAGGTGAGTGGCAGAGGTAGGATGTCATTAAAAGAAATACAGGTCTCAATCAAATCTACCCCCAAAGAGCCACACTTTAGAGAAATGTTTTGTCTCACACTTTTACCTATTGTACAGTTTTTAGTTAGTTAGAACATTTAAGCTGACAGTGGGGCCACATACATCTGTCAGCATGGTGAGGTAGAGCACATTTGGGAGGTGAAATGCTGGTTCTTATTTGAAGATGCTGAGTTTGAGGTGCTGCCAGCATATTCAGATGAACATGTAGACCAGACTGCCAGAAATGCAAGATAGGAACTTGGGAGAAAGGAAAGACTGGAATCATACATAGAAGTGATGTGTGTGTTAGCTAGTAGTAACCCTGATGCATGCTTAACTTTGAATCCAAGAGATTGCCATGTGAGGGATTATATGGGGGAAAGAGGGCTAAAGAACTAAGCATGGAGGACATCTTCATTTCAGTATTTACTCTTCATATCTTAATGTCAATCCAGTGCCTAATGTCTGATTTTACATCTGTGACTATTGCCTATCCCAGTCCTACATTTCCTCAGAACAGTCGCAGATGAAGGGACTGCAGTTGGTAGGTGTATTGGCTTAAACTCTAACTAAAACTAGTTAAAATTGTAAGGTATTATAAAATCTCTCAAATATGTGTGGCTTTTTAGGGGTTAATTTGATTGAGAACTATTAGTTTCCTAAAGCTGTTATAACAAATTACCACAAACTTGGGGGCTTAAAACAACCCACACTGATTTTCTTACAGTTCCAAAGGCCAGAAGTCTGAAATGGGCTGAAGTCAGGTGGCAGGGCCAACCTCCTCTGGAGGCTACCATTCTGCAGCCAGTGTTCATTGTTACCTGAATAGGCCTTCAGACAGATCAGCTCGGTGTTAACCTGAATAGGCTTTTGCACTCAGTGGCTCTCTACCATGGTTTCTACTTGAAATTCCCCTTAATACAGCTTTATTTTAAGAGATATAATTCACATGCCATTCAATTCATCCATTTAAAGTACAAAGTTCAGTGACCTTTAGTATATTTAGAACTGTACAATCATTGCTACCTAAGTTCTAAAACATTTTTGTCACCCCAACAAGAAACGCTGCACTGATCAGCAATATTCCTCTTCTCCCCTCAACTCTAGACAACCACTATCTACTTTCTGTCTCTATAGATTTGCCAATTCTGGGACATTTAGATGGAATCATAAAATATCTGTTTTTCTCTTAGTGTGTTACAAGATTCGATCACATTGTAGAGCAGATTAGCACCTCATTCCTTTTTATTGCCAATTAATATTCAATTATATGGACATACCACATTTTATTTAACCATTCATCAGTTGATGGACATTTGGTTGTTTCCACTTTCCTGCTGTTATGAACAACATTACTATGAATGTTCTGGTGTACAAGTTTTATGTGGATATGTATTTTCATTTCAGGTATCAAATGTAAGAGTGGAAATGCTGGGTCATATTTTAACTTCTTCCTTATAACTTTGCCTACTAAAGTTACATTCAGAACTCAAAGTCCATGCTGCTTCCATAGTGTCCCACCGTCTCCCACTTCAAGTGAAACTTCCATGGTTTGGTATTTCAGTATTGTGTTTACCAGTTTGCCTTGGAGCTCAGTTATTCCTGAATGGCAGTTTGCCTCATACTGTCAATTTCTGGAAGACAGGAACAGGCTCTCTCATTTTTGTATACCCCAAGGCAGTGAGTGTACTACCATATATAAAGCAGGAACTTTGTAAGTGCTTTTGTATTGGTGGAGAATAAAATTGTTAAGAATTTCATATGCTTGTTCCTGCAAAATGTGTCTAATATAAAATAGTAATAATGTTCGCTTCCACGTTTCAACAGTTAAATGGCAAACAGCACCTGAAGTAAAGGTGTCTAAGGTAAACCAGTTTGGTACATTAAAGTTCGTCTATTTTGAAATTTAGATGCTCCAGTATTCAGGATTTATAATTAAGAAAATGAAGCATTTTAGAACTAGGACTTCGAAAATAAACATAGCATGGTGGACAAAAGTAAATGACAATGTTAAAACTTACTGTTTCAAATTCTACATAAATATTCAAAAGCAAATTAAAAAATCCTTCTCAATGTTTTACTTCCCATGATTTTCATTATTGCCCAGTTATGAAGTTACAAAAGGCCTATATGAGTTTTTACTCATATGAAAGCATGGATTTTTAACCATTGATGGGTAAAAATGGAGGGATGTCTCCTGCTCTCTAAGGCAGGCCTAAGTATAGCCCTTGGCCTGGAAATGAAGACAGCCCTGGTGGTCACAGGTTCCATCAGGTTTATTCCCACATTCTCAGCATTACTCATGAATATATTCAAAGCATCATAGGCTACTGGGCAGATGGTAGGTTGTCCCCATAGTGAGAGGAGGGAAGAGCCAGTTCCTATCTCATTTCATCTGAAACACTCCAAGGGGCTTTGGGACTGACTGAATGTCATTAAGTTGGCTGAAATGACAGGGAAGGATTTGACAATAATGCCAAGGGAAAGGTGTACTCCTTTAACTATTAATATAATTGTATTATTTTAAATAAAAAAAGTAAATATTAAATAGTATTATCCAACTACATGAACTATAATATTGTATAAATGTATTTATATTCATAAACATAATGACTGATGTTGTGGAGGCATAGAAGTTGAGTTAGTGATTCTCAAGCTCTGCTGTGTCATTGAATCAAGAGTAGTGATGCTCAGGCCATGGTGACCAATTACATCAGAATCTCTGGAGGTGGAACCCTTGTATTATTATTCTTTAAAGCTCCCCAAGTTAAACTTGAGACAAGTGAATTAGATCCTATTAAGTTAGAGGCTAATACAGTGGCTCTAACATCAGTCTTACTGAGGGACTACTTTTCTCCTCCTCTGAATCCATACATAGAGGGAAGAGAACTTCTTGCTCCTTGGTAGGGAGAGGTATGGGAATAACCTCATTCATCACCTCTCAACAAAGGTGTGTCTTACCTGATGAGTGACTTTGGGAGAATAAGAGCATGTGTGAGTTTTCTCACCTTGGGAACTAACTGGTCTCAGCACGCAAAGATGGGCTCTCTCCTTGAGGGGCAGAGGTCCTCAGTTCTCTCCAGTTCGTGAGATATATTAGGGAGCCTGATGGAAGAACAAGTCTTCCTTATTCTTTATTTAAGTTTCTTCACTATTAAAGCTGAAATTCTGACTTCTCTCTGACTCCCATATCTATTTCTCAGTTTGTTCCAAAGTGAGAATAGGAGGCTTACTTATTAGTGTCCTTAAACCCCATAAACATCACAATAGTCATACATTTTAATTGCCCATGGCTATAATAGTTGTGTTCTGAAATAGCATGCCATTATTTTTATGAAATCAGTGAACAATTATAAATACAAAGTGTTTCTAAAGTACAGAGAGAACAAAACATTAAAGGCTTGATTTCTTTACTAGCAACAAAAATTTGGAAATTCTAACTGCTCAATTGTCTTTAGGAAATAACAACACTTCCCAAGTTTCTACTTTATTGAGAAAAAGCTTAGTCATGATCTGCAGAAGTTGGTCCTGGGCAATTTGAAGATAGGTCTTCTTTATCTGTAATTGATGTGGGGAAAATAAAGATTAATACAACTTATACAGGAAACATGTTATTTCAACATAGCATGTACTCTGTAGCTGTTTGCTACTTATTCTGCTAAATAGAAAAGATGAAAACAACAATAACCAAAATTTGTACATTCTCAAATTCAAAGTCCTTAAATTCATGTTAGTAAAGCCAGCTTGGGCAAATGTGTTTGAAGGGAAAGCACTGAGCTCTATAAAACATTTGGCAAGTTCTAAAACATTTCTTTCCTTAAAATTAAAAAAAAAAAAAGATGGGGTGGATTTAAACATTTTGATTTTTATGGGTCCTGGACATTATTCTAACTACATAAAAATTAGTCCTAACACTTTTAAGTATCTTTCAAGTATCTGTAGCTGAAGAAAGGATCTTTTAATATAAAGTATGAAAAAAATTCATCATTCCCAAGTGATTAAAAAATTCTTTCTTTTGAAATAAGACTGATAAATTCTCTTCTGCACAGTTTCTGAAAAGTTAAAAGCACCTTTAACAAGGCCTCAATCATTTCTATATTCACTATTTCTTTAAGACATTGATTTCGGATTGACATTTGGATGGAATAAGAAATGTCCACTGTCTATGGGAAATGTGACTTTTACAAAAAATCAAGTTAAAAATCAAAGAGTATTTGTATTCAGTATTTTTAAAAAGTGTAAAATATCTTCTTACCTTCATAGGCTGTTCCACACCAAATACAATAGAGATATTCTTGTCTTAAATAACCAGTCAATATTTGTAATTTTTCCAGGACCTAGATATAGGATGCAAGCACATCAATAGTTCACATCAAACAGAATCTTGGTTTCCTGTTCTCTTGGGTTACGTTCAGTTAGCAAAAGGCCAGAAATCTCTATACTCTCAATCAGTTAGGAGAGGTATCAAGGCAGAATATATTAGAACAGGTCCAAGTTTACCAGCCACTCTGGTATTTTCACAAGTCTGTCAGACACAACAGAGACCACTTGCTAACATTTAGGAAGTAGATTTTCACCGGCATCCTTTAAAGGCCCCTTCTACTTTCAAAAGAAATCTACCTACCCAAGATGCGATGAGGGTAAATACTGCCTCCTTTTGCCATTCAAGTTCTCATCAGTGGTCTCCCAGTTAAGTGGAACATAGGTTTTCAAATGGTAAATGTTTCCTACAAAATTCTTACATACACATAATCACAGAAATGTGTAGAACTTTCTTGAATTATCTCCATTTGTTTTGACTTGTGTATTTTTTTCTTTGTGTATGGATAGGGTAGAGGGTATTATTAGAATCACGTAAGTTTAACAGGAAACAAGGCAGAAATTAAAATAATTTTTACTTGCACCTAATCTATTATACAACCTGAAGTTGAGGTGAGAAGGTCAAATAAAGCTAAAGGGAAAAATACGAAGTTTTGATTTGGGGTTAATAAAATTAACCTATACTGTAGTGGTTCTCAACAAGGGGTGATTTTCCTCTCTGGGGACATTTAGCAATGTCTGGAGACATTTTTGATTCTCACGAGGGGAAAATGCAACTGGGACCTGGTGGGTGGAAGCCAGGGATGCTGCAAGGCATCTTACAATGCACAGAAGAGACAGTTACTCGGCTCAGAATGTTAATAGTGCCGGGGCTGAGACACCCTGCTCGAGGAAATGGTGCCAAAACCTACACTTAAATCTTCACTCTTATATTCATCTTCCTCTTGTTCTTTTTCTTCTTCTTCCTCTTTTTCAGTCTCCTCTTCAAGTCTTAACCAGTACCATGCCTCCCTGGGAACCTGAATATTCTGAAAATGTAGAATCATTCCCAATTAAACACAGCTAAACATAAAGACTATCACCAGTATATCATGTCAACATGAATTCATCCTTTCAAAGAAATATTTACTGAGTGCTGCTTCAAGAGTAAAGCACTATGAACTATGGGGATCCAAATCTGATTAGAATGCTGTCTCCCAAGTTGCTGAGGGTCTAGTGGGGAACATAAGCTATGGGCATAAATAGCTTAATGGTATAAAATAATACATGTAAACTAGGAAATCTTAAGTGTCATGACATATATTAAAAATAAAGTACTATGATGTACTAGCAGAAAGAGAAATCAAGGGAAAATTTCATTTACAACTGCATCAAAAAGAATAAAATACCTAGGAATAAACCTAACCAAGGAGGTGAAAGACCTGTACTCTTAAACTGTAAGATACTGATGAAAGAAACTGAAGAAGACACAAATAAATGGAAATCCATCCCATGCTCATGGATAGGAAGAATTAATATTGTCAAAATGGCCATTCTACCCTATTTACAGATTCAACACAATCCCTATCAAAATACCAATGGCATTTTTCAATGAACTATAATACAGCAAAGAATCCTAAAATTTATATCGAACCGTAAAGGACCCTGAACAGTCAAAGCAATCCTGAGAAAGAAGAACAAAGCTGTGGGTCTTATGCTCCCTGACTTCAAGCTAAGCTACAGTGATTAAAACAGCATGTTACTGGCACAAGAGCAGATCCATAGAGCAATGAATAGAATAGAGAGCCCAGAAATAAACCCACATATATATTGTCAATTAATATATGAGAAATATATTCAAATAAGCAGAGAACCATTAAGTATCAAAGTATTATTTAACCCTTATTGGATAATTCACACTACTTAGGTTTCTTCACTGAACAAGTCATTACTGTGAACATCAATTATCACACATGATACTTGTTAAATGAGAGCTTTATTGGATAGAAGGCTAGATACAAAAGGCTTAGGGGGTCTTCCCTTTTTTTTCCCTAATAAATACATGGCAAATCACACTGAGCATCAAAACACTTTACTAAACTGAATGCAGGTAAAAGGCTTACCTTCTGAGTATCTAGTTGTTGACACACTCTCTGGCTTTTTTTAAGATCTCCTTCTAGCTTCATTTCATCTTGCTTACTTTTAAGTCGCATTCTAATTGAAAGAAAAGATAGTACACTAAAGGTCTGTACTCAGTTTATCCATTTGGTATGCCCAGGACCAGAAAACACACCACAATAAAGAAACCAGAAATAGTTCAAATACTAGAATTACCGAAACTGTTCTGCAGCTTTTTCCTCAGCTTGGTTTTTCATGCGAATCTTTCTCCTGTAGCTTTCTAGTTTCTCCTCTGCTCTCCGTTTTAATAATGCCTCGTGACCAATGCCACTTTTTCCTGTTCGAACAGAAAACTCTTAAGAGAAACTTACTCACTTTGTATTTCCAAACATGACAACTTAAACATTTCCCCTTTAAATGCAATTCTAATTTGAGCCCTATCACTCAAAATCATTTGACAACAGTGAAAGAAGAAAACCTTAGAGATGTTTTTTAAGCCCAAACACACAATCTGATTTTTATAAAGATCATAAGTCTGCTCTAATAAAATAGTAATACTACACAAATTCTTTTAAATTAAGAAAACAGTATGAACTGTCATACTGTCATATAAATATTATAAGCAAATAGAACATTCTTTTTCTCTTAATTCATCCAAAATATTAAGAAAAACACTGGGTAAATCATCTCAGAACACTTTCAGGACATTTCAACACACAAAAATAGCTTTGCATTTTTAATGGTTACAATTTTTCCCCACATTTTTATGATTTAAACTTTATACTCACTAAAACTTTTACTTTTAGTTTAAAAGGTTTAGAAGTTCAAGAAACTTCACTGAGGGCTTCCTGTGATAAGAACTGTATCATGAAAGAAGTATTTATTAAGCAAATATATGTGCTAGATCTAAGCCTAGTTATTATTACTGGTAAGTATGTTTAAAAATAATTATATACCTGTTTTAACATGGAGAGGAATTGGTTCAACAATACCATCTCCTGAAAAAGAGAACAAAACAAACTACTTTAGATATTCTTCCTCAAACTAGACGTACGCATAGTATGCAACTTACAGTGCTCTACACATATCCCTCCAGTTTCAATGATTTTCAAAACTGTAATCTGAACATCAACACTCTATAATCGACTATCTCCCTTGCCTTCTAAGATCTAGTCTTCAATAAGGCTGACCCACAGTGTCCTACACCACCTGAAGGTAAGGTTTTAAGATGTGAAAACATTGATATACATCCAATAGGGTAACAGCCTCCAGAGAAAGCAATGCCTTCCTAGGCGAATATCAAAGCAATTACAATAAAGGAGAGAAGAAAAGAAAATGCCTTCCAGAAACTACTAGAAATATATGGCCTCTACATCTTAATAAGCAGTCTCACTTCCCAAAAAGGGAGGTGAGAAGTGAGCTTCTCCAACTGCATGGTTACTCAGGCAGCTGCCACAGGTATAGTGCAAGCAGGGCAGAGTCCTGCCACCCTCTTCAGTGGTGCTCCCTTGTTTTTCGGCCACTGCACTTCTCAATCTCCTCTTGCGTACATTCTCAGCTGCTGCCTCCATTGTAAGCCTCATTCATCCCAGATGTTAGGACCTTCAAGGCTGAAGTGATAAGCAGCTCTCAATGGCATACGGTTGTTGGAAGTAGATGTGCAAAGATGAACTCTTAATTATGCTTGTTAGCACATAAAACACTAAGAAGTTTAAGTGGTTTTAATATCTATAAATGGATAAATATTTAAACGGTCACTTCTGGTACTCATCAATAAGTCACCATTTGATGGTTAGGAATGCCTGTTTCTGTATGTGACTTACCACTCTTGCCAAGGGCCTGACCACTTTTATATCCCATCTTTTGGAGCAAAGCAAAACCTTTATTTTCACAGCCTAATGCATTCTTCAACCCAATGTCACGTCTTTCTTGTTCTTCATCTTTCAAACTCTTCTGCCTATTTTTCAAATTAGTTTCCTGTTGCTTTTCTTCTTTTCGACGGGCTTCTCGGATGTGCCTCAGCATTGGCAATCCTGGTCTGATATCTTCTCTGAAGAATAAGAGAAGAGATTATTTTAGAGGAGTATATCAAGTTTTCTCATAAATGTTTCAGTGCTCTTTCTATGATCACTTTTGTTATCATTGGTATCAGAACATGATCAGTGACCTCTGAGAATGGCTGTTTTAGTAAAAAATGAAGGCTGGTGCCACACTGTAGGAAACTAAAGAAAGTATAAAGTTGAAATTAGAAACAGCAAGTTTAGAATAATCTTTCTAGGAGGTTAGCAATATTAAAGAGCAAAGTTGAATAATAGCTAAAGAGACAATGAGGTGAATAAAGGAAAAGGGTAAATTTTCTTGGAAAAGAGTAAAAACAAGAGTTAGAGGCAGAAGTAAAATGCTTAGCATTAAGAGGGAAGAGGCAGCTCTTAGTATCTTTGTATGGACACATGGGAGGTGTTTCCAGAAAGCAATGAGACTAATTTTCCAACCTCACATTTAAAATCAATGTCATATATATCGTTACCTAAGGTATGCACATTTACTTACTGGACATTAATGAAGGAATCAGACATGTAGTCCTCTTCTTCTGCCATGTTCAACTTCATATGGCACAAATGTCTATAAATCAAACAGGATAGAGTAGCAATTGCTAGTTTTTTTAGTTTACAAAGTGGAAATAAATCTGTATCCCCAGCCATGACCTTTCTCTAGAGCTCTAATACACACCCAAGTGCCCTTCTGACATTTTTTTGTGGAACTCTCAAACAACTATCCAAACAACTCATTCTCTTCCACCCCAAACCTCCTTCATACCCCGTATTTACAAATTAATGTCACTTCAATCTCCCTATTTCTGACCTCTTATAAGTCTCTGTCAATTCTTCCTCTACAATCCCTCATAGAAATTTTTTCTTACAATTGTGATCACCACATTAGTTCAGGCATTTCTTTCTCACCTTAACTATTACACAGCTTCCTAAGTGGACTCATTGCTCTTGGCCTCTCCTCTTCCAGTCCATCCCCTACACTCTTTCCAAAGTGGTCTGTAAAACCTTAAGTTAGGTCTTATTACTTGCTTGTTTCAAATCTTCCAATAAACTTTACCTGTAGGCAGCTACTGGACCCACAGCATTGACATCCCTTGGGAGCCTGTTTGAAATGATGAACCACATTATTAGCAACTCTGTAAGGTAGGATTAGTTAGTCCCACTTTCTAGTTAGAGAAACTAAAGCTCAGTATGGCTAACTGACTTGCTCAACACCACAAAAAAATCTGGGTTTTGTGCTCTTGCGGCTGCAAATAGGATTAGATTATTTTTACGGAATCCATTGAGTTCCGCGGTGCTAGGCAGATCTAAATGGGGGTTACAGGTTCTTCTTAAAGTTCCCTTCTTAATGGTACAATATACTTCAGCTTCATCCATTCCCGTCAAGTGTAAGGTAATCGTTACGAGGCGACAATCCGGACAAAGATGACGGTGGCTAGGACCACTGTAGTGACAGCAGTGGGAGTGGTGAGAAGTGGTCGGATTCTGGGAGTATTTTGAAGGTAGAACTAACAAGATTTTCTGATGGATTGGAGGTGGTGTGTGAAAGAGTGATGCCAAAGACTGCTCCAAGGTTTTTGGTCTGAATACCTGTAAGAATGGAGGTACCAGTTTTTGAGACCGGTTAGACTATATTAGGTTTGGTTTTGGGTTTTGGGGTTTTTTTGGCAGGGAGCTGGCGGGGGGTGGGGCGCGTTAAGAGTGCTGCTTCAGTCCTGCTGAGAGTCCCATTACACATCCGAGGGGAGAGATGGGCCAAGCAGCTGTGCGGTAGTAGAAAGGTGACGGGAAACGCGTCGGCCCCCAGCACTCCCCTCAGGGACGGCTGATCCCTGCCCTCGCGCGTCCCTCCCAGCGGCAGGCGTCCCGCAGACGCGGCCACTCACGGGTGGCGATGTGTTTGACGGTGTGAGGCGGTAGTCACAGCCAGCGCACAGATCACCGACCCTCATCATTCATTCGATGGCCCCAGCCCCTTACCTGGGAGCTCTATCGGCCTCGGACAGCTCGCGACAGCGAGCGTTGCGCAGGCGTCGATCAGGCAGCGCCGGACGTCTGGGCCCGAACGCTCGCCGGTTTCCTTGCTCAAATCAATTGGAACCTGCAGTAGGCAGGGCTGGGAGGGCGTGGTTAGTGCGCTTGCGCAAGCCCAGCCTCCTGCGCACGCGCTCTGCTTCGTTCCCCCGAGGGTCTGACTTGCTGGAGGCGGGGCTTCCGGGTCCTTTGGCAGATGCTTCGGGCCCCGGAACTCAGCTGATCGGCCCCTGCCAGACTAGGAGGTGAGGCTATCCCCCATCTGCAGCCAAAGCATCACGTTGATACGCACACACACCCCTGACCCCCCATAGGTTTTAAGAGGGTTGGGGAGGAAAATCGAGTTCGGAAGGAACATGCTCCCTTTTCAGTCGCAGGGCTTCTTTTCGAGCCGCCACCTCCTGGCGTTGACAGCGGGAGTGACCCTGTCGAGGCCTGCGGCGGCCTCCTGCATTTCAGGTGCTGCGCTTCGGTCCTGGGAGTAACTGGGTTAATCCAGACCCGCAGCTCGCGTGGCGTCTGCGGGCTGCATTCCCGAACCCCCCAGGGTTGTCACCGAGGCTTCGGCCGCTGGGACCTAACTGGCCGCCCCCACCTCATCCTCACAGGAGGACTCTTGGAAACTTCCAGCGTGGGACCTTTATGCTGGAAGTTCTGACGTCCTCCTGGGCCGGGGTAGCTGGGGAGGAGTAGGGGTGCTCTGCCCCGAACAGTGGACGAGAGAGGAGGACGGGTGGTCAGTCCCAGCCGGTGTTCCATCTTGGTGCTTCCATACCCGTTTATGGAATGGGTAAATGACATGTGTTATGTTAGGGATATTTCTTTTGGAATAATGCCTTATTTGCAATGTTTATTTTAATTTACCTGTGCCCCACTATTCATTCCTCCTCACCATGCATGACTTTGTTTCGGTTTGTACGCTTGCCCTTTAAAATTGGCTTGTCGGGTTTTGCCTCAAAAGAAGTTATGTAAATTTCCCCTATGAAATGAGAAGTAAAGCCATTCTTTTCATTTCTTAGTAGTTGCATTCACTAAGCTTGGCTTTTAACATTTAAAAAATCTGAAGTATTTTTTAATTTTTTAATTTAAGATGTGACTTAAATTTCAGTAATGGAGCTAGCTCACAGTTTACTGCTAAATGAAGAAGCTTTGGCTCAAATCACTGAAGCAAAGAGACCAGTTTTTATCTTCGAATGGTTGCGATTTCTTGATAAAGTCTTGGTTGCTGCCAACAAGGTATGGTATTGCTTTTTTTCCAGCTGGGTCAACATAATAGAAAGTATATGTTCATTATTTGTAAGAAAACACACATTATGTTTTGGGAAGGTCTGAGTCACTTATGGAACTTGAGACCATGAGAATACTACTGTAATAGGAATTACTTGTCTGTGGGTTTTATTTCTGTCCTTAAAATTAGATACTTTCCTCACATACCTGATAATCTTTGGCTATTGGCTCACATTTTAAAATGAGTACTAAGAAGTTTTCTGTATGGGGTTAAGTTTGCCCTTGTGGATTTGTGCTTTTTGTTTTTTGCTGCCCTTTATATAGTTTTAATGGGGCTTCTAGAGAGACAGAGTTAATGCATGGATTCATTTACTGACCTTAACTAGTTTCTATTTTCTTTTAAACCTCTTCTAACTGAGTATTTGTTGCCTCCACTCTACTGACACATCTCTGGTCCAAGTGATCTCTGATTGCTCAAACCAATGGTCAGTATTAGTTGAGCCGTCAGCAGCTTTTGACATAGTTGAACCTCTCTACCTCAAAACATAGTATTTTTATCTTGTGAAATTGAAAAATACAGAAGAGTATATACAGATACTATTCCTTCAGTGATATCATCTAATCTCATGATTTTTACTACCATCTATACAATAATGACTCCCAGATATCCAACTACCTGCTCCATCTCTTTCTCTTGCACATCTAAATAGCATCTCAACGTTAACATGTTGAAAACCAACCTCTTGATTTCCCTATCCCAAGCATATCCTTTTCTCAGTGCTTGCCATCTCAGGAAATGGCCATTTCATCCTTCTAGTTGCTCAAGTCATAACCTTAGAGTTATTCTTGACTTCTTTCTTTTTCTCAAACTTCATGTCATATTCATTAGCAAAACCAATTGGTTCTACCCATTAAATATATCCAGAATTCAATTACTTCTCATCATCTCTGTTGTTCCCACCCTCATCTCTCATCTAGAGTATTGCAACAGCTTCCTAAGTGTTTGCCATGCTTCCAGCCATGTACCTTGTAGAGTTTTCTTAGCTTAGTGGTCAGAATGACCGTGTAAAAGCATTTTCATCATGTCCCTCCTCCATTTCAAACTCTCGCTCAGAATAAAATACAAAGCTCTTACAATGGAGTATGAGGAAGTACACAGTCTGGTCCTTCTGACTTCATCCCTACTACTTCCTCTTTCGGAGACTCTACTCCAGCCAAACTGGCTTTCTTGCTGTCCTCAGCACACTAAGCAGTGCTTCCACTTCAAGGCCTTTGCACTTGTTTCCTCTGCTTGGAATGTTCTTCCAGACATCTGCACAACTCACACCTTCACTTCTTTTCAGAGGTGCCTTTTCTTACTAATTTATATAAAACAGGAAGAACTCATACTACTCATTTGTTTATTTAGTAAGCTCTGTCTGTGCGCTAGAATGTAAACTTCATGAAGGCAGAGACTTTGTCTATTCTGCTCGCTATTGAACTCCAGTGCATGGCCTATCCTAAGTGCCCAATAAGTATTTCTTGAATGAATGAGGGAATTCTCAGTATTGATTATGGGTAGATTTGAATATTTTTTCTGTTGCCTAGGGCTCTTCAGCGTTTTCTTCACTCACCCATACTTTTATGAACTACCAATTGCATTTACAAGGGAGCCTATCGATTCTAAAAGTCGATTGTTCATATACCCAATATTTTACATCCTTTGTTAGTTTATTTCTTAGTAAGTTGGTGTGAAAACTTTTTGGATCTAGAGTAGTCACTTTTATTGGCAAAAAACTTTGGCATTGGAGGGGAATGAAGGAGAATATTTATTCTGGGGAAGAACAGTTCATTTCTTACTGACCTCTTCCTTATGTTAAAAATTTGTGTTTATGGTTTTATGCCTAATGTAATATAGATTTTAATTATTAGAGTGCCTTAATTTAATTTTAATTTTTATTAAAAGGTAACAAAGGCATGTATAAGGACAAAAATCGATAATGGTTTTTATTTTTATAACAGACGGATGTAAAGGAAAAACAGAAAAAACTTGTTGAACAATTAACTGGATTAATAAGTAGTTCACCTGGACCACCTACACGAAAACTGTTAGCTAAAAATCTTGCAGCCCTTTATAGCATTGGGGATACTTTTACTGTTTTTCAAACACTTGATAAATGTAATGACATTATCAAAAATAAAGATGACACTGCAGCCTACTTACCAACAAAATTGTAAGTACTTATTTTGGCACCAAGCCTTAAAGTTTGTTTAAGATTAACTTATCTTAATAAGAAACTACTGATCATAAGACAGAGCATTGGTATGATGTCAGCAATTTGCACAGGGGTCTTTTGGTTTGGATGGAGATAATACTTTTGACTGGGATAAAAAGGAAAGTGAAGAATTTCTAGGTGATGGGATTGAGGCAGGACTGGGCAAACTATCACATAGACCAAGTCCAGCCTGCTGCCCATTTTGTAAATAAGGTTTTATTGTAATACAGACATGCCTGTTCATTTAGGTGGTAGCTGCTTTCATGCTCTAATGACAGAGTGGAGTAGCTGAGAAAGAGACCATTTTGTCTGCAAGCTCACTGACCCCCAGATGAAGGGTTTACCTGACTCCTCACCCGTCCTCATGGTTTGGATCAAGGGCAGACATTTTCAGAGCACGTCTTGAGGATAATAGCTATCTGGATACATCCTGTGGAAGGGTCAAATAAGAAGACAGCAGTTACAGTTCAGGAAGGAGTGCCATGGAAGGGAAAATAACACCCAAATAAGCTTAGCTGTGCTATTAGGGAAAAGCAGTGTTAAGGAAAGCTTCTCAAAGAAGCACCAACTGAAGGAGATCAACCATCAAGGAAGACACATAGAAAGTAGTCAAGTCAGGAGTTAAGATGGGAAGATGGATGTGATAGGGATTGGAAAACTTTATGAGAAGAGCCTAAAATAAATATTTTTGGGTTTGTGGTCTTTACATCTCAGTTTCAAATACTCACCTCTGCCATGGACCATACATAAATAAATGAGTATAACTGTGTCCCAATAAAACAAAAACAAGTAGCAGGCCAAAGGTGGGTCAGATTTGGCTCGCAGGCTGTAGTTTACCAACCTATTTTCTAGGCAAAATAAACTTCCAATTGCCAACAAAAGTAGCTTATTTATATCTTATTTGCAGTGATTTTCAGAAAGATGCAAAATAGAGGAGGGAACAAGGTATGAGGGGAAGTTGATGGTTGAGTTCTAGGCATGCTGATTTTGGAGTACAAGTGGAACTATCCAAGTGACAGTGTGTACTTGGCAGTGGGAAATTGTGGTCTGGATTTCAGAGATATGAGTTGAGACTGTAGTTTGGGAAAATAGAGTGGCAATTTGGGAGTAGGCTGAACCCTTTGGTATGGATAAAGTTAGGAAAATAAAACTGTTTGAGAAGAGAAGATGACCGAGGAAATAGCTCTAGAATGCCATTCAAGGGGCCTGGGTTAGTGTGACAGCTTACAGAGGAAATGGGGAAATTATTCGGCACCTGGACACTGATTTTTTTTTTAGATCTGTTTTCAACTGCATAGATATGTTGTGATTAGATTTTGTGTTTATGATAGATATAGATTTCAAAAGTTACCAAAAAGAGTAGAGAGTACCAGTGCTTCCCAGTTTATTTTGGAGTTTGAAGCTATGTTGATACTTTGATGGTTTAGTTCTTCAGCACTTAGCAAATCCACACATAATTTTGTAGTTCTGCTTAAGTAGAATTTATTTACATATTACATATTATTCGTATGTATTTCCAGTGGATTCATAGGTTCTGTTCAGGAATTCCCTAAATATTCTGGCTTGTGACCTCAGTAATTTTTAGCTTTGTCATCAGCCTGGAGAGTATTGAAAAAG